TCTTCTGCGCACCAGTTCTACTTCTGAGGATGCCCCAGAGAGGTGTGAGGCTGCTGCAAGAGACTGCCACAAGGGTTTGGTTTAGAACTCCTGCTCTGGGAGGCAGCACTGGGATTGATGGGGAAGGTGTGGCCACTCTCAGCTGGGGTGAGATGCATTTGGTCTTCCCTGTGTTAGCTTTGCCAAGCGCTCAAAGGCCTTGTTGTGGGGTTGGAAGAGGGCAGCCAGGAGAGTAGCTGGGAACAAGCTTCCGTAGTAACTCTGCTGTTACCCACAGGCTGATTCCACTTCGGCAGCTGCTGGGATCCCTGGCCAGCAGCCCAAGGGTCGTGCAGTGTTCAGAGACTGTCCCTGTCTTACTGGAGCTCTTTTTCAGGGTGGTGGCAGAGGTAAGCCCTTTTGGGGGAGTTTGGTTCCCAGTCATGCTGGGGGTAATCCCTCGTTACATGAAGAGCAGTCACAGAAGCAAAATTGTTAAGACACTGCAGCTTCAACAGAAAGGGTGCATATGGGGAGGGTGGGATGGTCTAATAGTGGCATGAGCCAGCACTGAGCTGGCTACTTCATCCAGAGAAGCAGAAAAGGTGATGTTCTCTCAGTCAGCTGAAAAAGAGTTGGGTAACAGCAGAATGAGTGCCTGGTACTGGCTTTGTGCACTGCTCCCCTCCTGCTAGATCAGGCTGTTTCTGTGCTGGCTGTCTTACCTGGCTGGTTAGTTTGGGTTTTGGCTGCTGGAAGCCACTGGTGTTGCTGAAACAAGGGCTGTTTGTCAGTTTGCAGATGGGCCACTGATAAACCAGCTGGTGGTGCTGCTGCTGCAGAGGAGTGACCAGCTCTATGAGATCCCAGCATTTAAAGATGACGTGTACAGGTAAGACGGGACACAAGGCCCAGCCAAGCTTCCAGCCCATCCACTGCCTGCAGCCTGGCAGCCCAAGAGCCTTTTCAGTTGTGGTCCAGTCCCTGCTGCGACACAGAGTGTGCAGCCACTGTGCCAGGGGCTGGGTGCTGCCAGCACCAACTTGGTTTGGTGATGACCACCTTGCCTGTAGTCTGAGCTCTGCCCATCTCTCCTCTCCAGGGTGCTGAGCTCGCAGCTGGTGATGCTTTGCAGTCTGCACCCTGCACTCATTGTGGAAGTGTCCACGGAGATTCTGGAGTTCTCAGGAATGGTCAGCAATGTCCAGAACAAGGAGCCCATCTTCACTCACATGGTAAGCAGGGCCTGCTTCTGGCACAGGTGGCTCCAGACTGCAGTGTGATCTGTTGATCACCTTCCCTTTCCTCCTCTCTTCTGTCCTAGTATTAGCTAATCTGATTTGCTTTGATTCCCTTTCCTTCTGCTTGCCCTGAACCACCTCTGCCTGTGCTTCAGGTCTGGGCTATTGGAGAGTACATGTCTGTGTCCTACGACAAGCGCTGCACTGCGGAACAGATCAACCAGTTCTTTGAAACTCTAGAGGTTGTGCTGTTTGAAATCACCCAGCTCCGACCACTGGCCAGCATCCCCCGCTATGCACCCAGCACCATCAGTGCCCTTATGGCCACCTTGACCAAGTTGGCAGCTCGCAGCCAGGACTTGATTCCCAGGTGAGGATGGATGGCAGGAAGGACTAAGGGCTGAAATGTGCATCTCATGGGTCCAAACACAGATCTTTGCTAGTGTTAAATAATCGAGCTTGGCAGCTGATGGAACCTGAAACTGAAACAGGATAGAGGAAGCAAGCTGTGGGGGAGCACAGTTTGGATTCCTCTGTTGACTAAGGCTCTGTGCCTCAGGAGGAGGGGTTCGTAGCATCTGGTGTTCATCTGCAAAAGTCTTTTGGAGTACACAGACTTAAGTAGTGACCTTACTGGGTGCAAAGGTCCTGCAGCTGATGTCTGTGTCCTTCTCTCCTGCAGAGTGTCCATGTTCCTGTCCAAGATGAGGACATTTGTGCAGAGCCCGGCTGTCAGCTCTGTTTACTGCAAGGCAGACCTTGAGGAGCTCCTTATCCGTGCAACTGAGCTCATGAACCTCCTGAAAATGCCAGATGTGGCTCAGTTTGTGTTCACACCACCCTCAGCTGCGGGAATTACACGGTTCCAAAGAGAAGTGAATGACTCCCTCCCTTTTGCCCTGAGGATGGTCACCCATCTCCTAGAGCCAGCTCCTGGCTGCATGCCACGGTGAGGGCATGAGGTTTCTGAGAGGCTCCAGCCTCTGTTGCAACTCACTGGACACTGCTGATGCTACAGCTGAGGCCCTGCTCTTCACTGGAAATGAGGAACAAACGGTTGTGAATGAAACAGAAAACAGGAACAAGTAGAGCTGAACTCTTCTCGTGTGAGGCTGTTTGGGTTTCTTTTCTCCTAACACTGGTTTCATTTCTATTTCCTAAGTTAGTTTTATCTCTCCCTGGCAGTAAGGATTGAAAATCCCAGTGGATTTGTGTGGATGTGGCAGGAGAACAAATGCATGCATTAACCTGCCAGCATACCATGTCCCTGTGGAGACATACTTCTTCTCTCCTCTCCTCTGACTTGTTTCTCCCTCTCTTTTGCCCTCATTATACCCTGGCTATGCATGTGCTGCTTTTATTGCCTCTCTGCTTACAGCAGATCGGCCAAGCAAAGGCCCGTGCAAGGTAGAGAAAGCAGAAGTGACTCCAAGTCTGTTGTAAGCCCTCACTGCTCTTCTGCCTTACCTTCAGAGGGAACATGTTGAGATCCAAGAGGCAGCTACCTGAGCAGAGCTTAGAGCGATTTATTGATCCAGTTTATTGTTGACACCAAGAGCATTTCTTAGCATACATCAGCCCCGTGTCAAACAGGCGCCATGCTGTGTTCTGTATCTGCATGAGAAGTGTATACACATTCGAGCTGTACAGTATAAACAAATAGGGGAAGTAAATACATCCCACTGCTCCTCCCAGGAGAAGCAAGCCCTCATGCACGCTAGTAAATAGCAGGGGTTATTTACAGTCTGTTTCAGTGCCTGACTGCACTGTGAGCGACACAGCTCTGGGGCTGATTCTCACCTCCAGGGATGCCTGGAGTCAGGCTTGGTGGGGAGCAGAGGGTTGTATTGGTACCACTGGAACTTGCCAGGGTGCAGCCCGAGTACTGTCTAGTGCAAACTGAGCCTCCCCTGAGCCCTGGCTCCTGGGCAGAGGGGAGTGAGGAGTGCATGCAGCTTGCCCAGGGGCCCTGGCAGCCCATTTCTTGCCCTACAAACCTGCTGAGCTCCTTGGAGGATGAGAGGTCAACGTACTTACATGATACAGTGGAGTGAATCACCATGAGCCCTGTGGGGCCCTGAGCCTTTGCTTGCCTGCCTGGTACAGCTGAGTCAGTGGCACGAGGGATGCTTTGCTCCCAGTCCCTGCTGGGGCAGCTGCCCAGGCTGGTTGGCATGAGCATGGCCTAGCAGCGAAGCAAGGCACTAGTGTCTCAGTGAAAGTGCTTTGTCCCTCTTGCCCTAGAAAAGGCAGGCCAGGCTGTGTAGAAATCCAGTATTGGAGTATTTCCCCTATGCGGATTATTTTGACATCTCTCCTGCAAAGTGCAAGACTAAGCCCAGAAACCAAAACTACAGCAGTGAGGTTTAACTAAGGCCAACCCTGTTAAACATCCCTTTTTTAGCATCACGGCCCTCAGAGCATTGTTGTGAGATGCAGTGTGAATATCCGATTTGCTGCCAGAGCCTAGACCGTGCTGGTTTAAGTGCAGGGTGTGATGTAGGGCTTTGTGGCAGGCTGTTCTAATAGGGTTTGGCTAAACTAGGTCTTGGTATCAGTCTATATGTGGAAATGAGGTCAGGTTTATCCTGCGAATGCTGTTAAAGTCACAGGGAGGACTTGGCAGGCAGGAGGCAGCCACATGGTGGAGCTGCCACCTCGGCTCTGCTGAGGCCACTGTTGGAGCAGCCACCAGAGCTCCTTCTGAGACATTCAAGACTGACCTTCCAAAGGGGAGCTTCTGCTGCCCATCATCACCCATCAGCTCGTCAGCAGCATGCACTTCTGAGATGCTCTGAGCTGGGCAGGAAACAGGGTGGCCTTACAATGGCCTGGCAAAGTAGGAGTGACACCAGGACATGGTGTTAAGATGTCATTTGTCCGCCTGGGCTAGTGTCAGCACTCTGCCGAGCTTGCTCAGGTTCCTGGTGGCCATAGCCCCTTGGATAGGGTGACAGCTCTGTGGGGAAGGTCTCTGCTGAGTCAGTCCTGGGCTCTTCCTGCCAGGATCACGGTGCCAGCGCCAGGTAGTAAATCTGCTGCATGAGCAAGGGTGAGAGCATCTTCTTCATGGGCTCTCCTCAGGGCTCCAGGGGAACTGCTGGTGGTGTCAGCCCTTTGCTGTAGCTGCTTCCCATCCCAAAGGAGGCCTGGGGGCAGTGTGGTTGTAGCCAAGCAGCAGAAAGGCACCTGACTTAGGGTATGGCACCAGGGAACTTATCTTCTAGCAATGCATCCTGCTTCGAATCCCGCTTTGGGTGCTTGTGCTGCCTTTATCACTCGCACAGCTGGGCACCCTTTTCCAGCCTGATGTGCCAGCACCTCAGGTGGTCACTGCCACAGCAATGTGCCAGGCCTGCCCCACATGCCAATCTTTAAATCCCAAAGGTGTTTCAAGCCTTCTGCCTGCCAGCATGGAGAAATCACACAGGGCTGCCAGCCTAGGGGAATGGAGAAGTTGTGAGGGGAGCATCTCCTTCCTGCCCTCTGCCAGAGGGGACAAAGGACCAGGAAAGCTCCTGAGAAGGATAACACATGGTATAAGGTGAGGCCGGGCAATGGATCAGGAATGATGCTCCCAGCCAGTGCAGTGGGAGAAGCGTTCACCTCCCTTGCAAGTCCTTTAATCCACTGCAGTGCAGGGGCAAGGTGTCGATAAGCAAATCCAAGGGTGGTTATGGAGTCCTGGGCCTCCCTCTTGCACTCCAGGCTTCCCCAGGGTCAGCCTTAACCAGAGCTGCCCCCACAAGCTGCTGCAGAAGGACCCTCGTACCACAGGGACTAGGAGGAAGATGAGCTGGAACTGATTTTTTTGGCTATTTCCATGTCTGACTTGGCAACCAGGAACCGCAGCTTCTTCCCTCCGGAGCGGATGAGGTCCACCGCACTGCAGAGAGCAACAACAGGGAGAGGGGTGAATTCTGGCTCTCTACACATTGGCAGCCCCCCGGGAACCTGCCAGGTCATGGACATGTAAAAAACACACACCCCATTTGCAAAACAGCGCTCTGCAGGGTGCAAGGTACCCCGTTCCACCGCCTTTGAGAGGAAGCCTGGGGTGGGCTGGGGGGTTGGAGCAGCAGTGCATTGCTGAGACCCACCTCTGGAGCAGTTGTGGCTCCCCGATCCCTATTCCAAACCCCCCTATAGCTGCCTTTCCCTCTTCCCAGTGTCCTGGGTAGGTCTCTCCTCTCTCTGCAGCTTGCCTGTACTGCAGCATCCTCTACCTTGCTGGCTGTACCAGGGACTTAGAGACCCTGTGCAGCTCTTTGCTGCAAAACAGCTGAAAACCTGGCCTTGAGCAGTAACTCCCACAGAGCTGATGCCAGCCCAGGCCCCCAGCAAGGTGCAGCTCACCTTTGGTAGTCTGCCCCGATGAGACTGGTGCCATTGACAGCCAGGATGCGGTCCCCGATGGAGAGCCTACCATCAGTGGCTGCGGGGCTGTCCTCGATCAGTGTGCGGATGTAGATCCCAGGGGAGCAGAGAGGAGTGTGCTGTTGGCAGGGAAAGGTGGTGAGTGACCAGCTGGGGCATAGGGGACATGAAAGGTTTGTGGTCCCAAAAGGCTGAGCTCTCCAGGCAGGGTGACTGTCCCCTGTGGATCACAGCCAGGTGGGTGCCTGATGCCAGTTGGGACCTTGGAAGCACTGGGGAACTTGATGGATGGGAGCTGGGGATGGTGACACTAACAGTGACAGGAAAAAATGCAAGCCTTCAGTTTTATATCAATTTATACACGGAAAGGAGAGGTGGGGGCAAGCTTTTCTTGTTCAATTTAATTAAGAGTAAAGCATCATTAACCTGCAGCCATCTTGGGATGGGAGCTCTTTGCTCTTTGTCCCAGCAGCTCCGTGATGCCCTGTTTCCTACTGACTAATGCACTGCCGTGAAAGGCCACTTAGTAAGATGATCCACCACACTAAGCCAGATTGCAACGTCCCCTTGAGCAATGAGTGCTGTTGTTGGAGCAGTTCTGGCACCCTGCGAGCTTCCCTTGCCACCCGCTGAAGGGTGGAGGAAAGACCTCAGCTGAGTCATTTTCCTTCCACCAGAGAGCTGAGCCTGTCTGCTCCCTCCAGCTGCAGGACAGCTGTGATGGACTTAGCGTGCCTGGCACAGCAACCTGGGAGCAGAGATCTGCTCCTCCTGAGAGATCCATCTATGCCTCATTTTCCATAGGAGAAGCACTCTAACTGCCATGGGAAGCTATTAGCTTCTCGATGGCTTCACATGTCCCACTCCAGCTCTTTGGAGGGGCATCAGCCCTGTCCCCTGATGGGTGAGGACTCACCAAGCCATCAATCAGCCCCATCCCCAGCCCGATGGGTCCTCTCTCCAGCTCCACCACGAAGACGTAACAGAAATCATCGGTGGCAGAGCTGCGGCTGGAAGACTCTGGCGTGGGGTAGTCATAGGGGGTTGGTGAGCATCCTGCCAGCAGAGAGACTGGATTACCACTGTGGCATCACCCAAACCAGCCTCACAACCCCCCAAACCCCATCAAAGCCAACCTTGGGTACCCCCAGGGCCCGAGCTGGATGTGATGCTTCATTTGCTCTCCTTGTCCAAACATGGACAAGGTCCCCATAGGAACCAGGGATGGAGAACAGCAGCAAACACCCTCCTGCCCCAATTCTGCACCCCAAATCAGGCCAGTGCCAGCTGTCATTACCTTCAGGGGTGCTGCCTTTGGTGCCATTCATTCCGTTCCTCCGGGGGTCCTGCAGCCCTTTGCCAGTGCCCTGTGGGGACTCCGGGCTGATGGAGTCGAAGTTCAGGGGGGTGGTGGGGGGTGTCAGCAGGCAGGAGGGGTCTGTGAGTGCTGGGCCAGTCTTGGGGGCCAGGCCCCTGCCCAGCTGCAGCTGCTGGAGCCTCTCCCGCTGGGACCCTCTCCTGGAGCTGTGGCTCACTGTCGGGGTGCTCACAGGGGCAGCCATTGGTGGCCAGGCAGAGCAAGGGGCTCCCCTCCGGCCCGGTGCAATGGTCCTCCTGGGTGATGGTGCTCCCCAGGACAGCAGCAGGGCTCCCGCTCACCTCCAGGACATCAGCCATGGTGCATGCCTCTTCCTTAAGGAGAGAAATGCTCTGTGGGACCCCCTGCATGTGCTTGTGACACCCTACTGCAGCCCACCACCCTGTGTGCTCTGCAGGCAGGATGGCTGCTGGCTCCCGCCCAAGCTTTGGCAATTCAGACCACTGCTAGGGCTTGTCGTGGCTTCCCAGCACAGTTCCACACCCCAGGTGTGTGGCCAGGACTGTACTGGGGATGCTCACAGCCAGCCAGGATGGGATTCCTGGTCATGTCTGTGCTGGGGGATCTCCCTGCAGGAGGATACTGGGGAAGCAGGGTCCCTGATGTGGCACAAGGCTGATGGGAGGAGGTAGCAGTGCCTGTAGGTGCCGCAGTCAGTGGGGAGAGAAGAAGACCTACTGGAGGAATGTCCCCCCCAGGGAGCTGGAGATGAATGGCAGTTGAGCTTTGCACCTGTAGCATGTCTCACCCTCCCTGTGCTTTATAGGCATTAGCTAATCGGTGCTTTTGTGCTTGCCTGGCTACATGGGGACAGGCAGGGTGCAGGGCAGGGAGGACCAGGAACATGCAGGGAGAAGGGTAGTGCTGCCTGCAGAAATCCCCCCTTCCTCCCTCCTGCCCACTAACGAGATTGCTGGGACCAGCCTGTCCTTCCTGCTCAGCTTCCCACTCCCCCCAGGCTGGGGGATTAACAGCACTAATCCCTCCAGCAGCTCTACATGAGGGCATTGCTGCAGCAAGCCCTTGGCACTGAGCTCAGAGGGGTCTCCAGAGGGATCAAAGCCCTCCTGCCCACCCAGGAGAGGAATAGCCCCTCCAAGGGGTACAGGCTACCTTTGGTGGTGCTGAGCCTGGCCCCTCGCTCATGCTGGGGCTCTTGCTCTGCAGGCTCCAGAGGAAGTGGCGGATGTAAAGGAGGTGCCTGTAGATGTTGTCATCCAATGTCTCCACCTCCAGGTCCACCTTGAAGCCCGCGCTAGGCAGGATGATGGGCGGGTGGTTGTCGAAGGACTCCAGCATCTCATCTGAAAGGCAGAGGGAGGGAGGTTAACACTGGCCTGGCTGCATCCCACTCCTGCCTTCTGACTCGTGGCCACATGTGGTCTCCCAGCTGGGATCAGGGACATGGTGAGCTGCAAGGCAGCAGCATTCTCCATTTGGGAACACAGAAAGAGCCCCAAGCCCTTCTGAGTGCACTTTACGTCCTTTGCACTATCTGAATCACAGTGCCACTGTTATTCCCAATCACTGTAGTTATGACAGGAGTCCCAGGGAGAAGAATGGAGTTGCCCACTTGGCTTCTGCATAAAATCCTTGGAGGAAGCCTGTGTATAACCAGAACACAGTGATCAGAGCAGCACTGAGCACGAAGCCGGGGGCTCACCAGGCTGGAAGGTGGCCGGGCTCTCCTCCTTGGGCTGCCACGCTGCGATGCAGCCCACATCCATCACTGCCTGGCACTGGCTCAGCACCCGGTGGAGCTGCGCAGGGCTCAGTGCTGGGAACTCGGCTCGCAGGGTGGACCAGGTCATCTGGGTGAGGAGACAGAGCACGGGGCAAAAGGCAGAGGTGAGGAGCTGCTTTCTCCAACAAGCAGGAGGAGGAATGGGAGGGAGAGGACAGGCAAGATGGAATCACACACTGGTTTGGGTTGGAAGAGACCTTAAAGCTCGTTCACTTCCAACCCTCTGCCACAGGCAGGGACACCTTCCACTAGAGCAGGTTGCTCCAAGCCCCATCCAAAGTGGCCTTAAACACTCAAAGATGGAGTGAACCTGAGCATCCCTTCTGATACTGCCCATGCAACCAACCCAGGAAGCGGCAGCTGGTGACAGGCTGCAGAAGAAGGGACATATCATGGTAGGGACCCCCAGACACCAAGTGGTGCTTCTCCTGCCCGTGTCCATCCCGATGCCAGGCACCCCTCACCTGCACCAGCTGGGAGCCGGGCATGGCCAGCAGATTGGCCACGTTGGCAAGTTTGGCGAAGAACTGCTGAGCGAGCTGCTCGAAGCCAGCACCACGCAGCCACTCCAGGAGCAGCCGCACGCTGGCACGAAGCTTCACCCCCTGCGACCAGTGGAAGCAGCCAAGAGAGGGGCCTGAGGAGGCAGAACATCCATCAGCACTGTCAGGGAACAGGTCACCTTGCCTTCGGCTGGAACCCGGGGTAGGGCTGCCCCAGGGAAGTGAAATAGATGCAGGTTAATGTCCCCAGCATCCTACAGCTGTAACTACTGATGGTGGCTGGACCTCACCTGGCACTAATAGCAGTGTTAATGAGGGCTAATGAGCACCTCAGTTAGAGAGCAGGCTGCAGTAGTTTATTACTGAGCTGACCCTCTGAGCTGCTCTTAGCATCCTCTGCTCTTACAGGGGGTGAGGATGGGGCACTTGTGAGATTAAATCCCTCCTGGGAATGGGGATGGCAACTAGGTCTGTGTTTGACCTCCCCATGCTGAGACTTGCCCATCCCCAGCCCCTTCAAGCTGCTTGAAGCCCCCTCCCTCCTGTACCCCTCAAGGTGGCACTGGGATGGATTGGAGGATCTCCCAAAAGCTCGATGCCCTGTGGGTTACCCAGTCCAGGCTGGGTGTTCAAGGAGGACTGACCCTTATCCAGGAGCTGGTTGAAGAGCAAGGTGTTGGAGAAGAAGAAGAGGTAGGCGAACATCTGGGAGGTGATCTCAGGGTGCACTTCGTACTGGCGCAGCAGGTCTAGTGCTGCCTGGTAGATGAGCACAACCCTGCGGAGCTCCTCGGGCAGCGGCGGGTTCGCACGCCAGCTCTCCTGGCTCTCGTTCTGGAAGGGGTTGCACTCCAGCAGCGCGGGGAGCGACACGTACAGACACTGCAGAGAGAGCAGTGTTCTGCTCACTTCACACCACAAGGATCCAGCTTCTTTCCCCCTTCTTTTCCTCTCCATAAGCCAAACCCTTCTGACCGCCTCACCTCCACAAGCCAAGCAAACCTCCTGGTGCTGCTCTGGTAAGGGGCTGCTCCGGCTCACCCCTTGCCTCGATGTGCTCCAGTATTGCACAAGGATATATTTAAATTACATATAAATGTTAAATATAAAAATTAATGTTTCTGTCACTTTTAGCAGTTGGAGGTGACAGCATGGGAGAGCTCAGATAAAGGGATCTGAAACTGATCTGAACCAGGGCAGGATCGGTTGGGAACAAGAGTGAAAGAAAAACCAGGACTGATGGGGATGACCTTTCCCAATGGATTAAATGGGAGAGCAACACCTAGCACCCACTCCTGCTAAGGGGAAGGTGAGCAATCCCTGCGTGCTGACACCAACACACAGCAGCCTTTCTTCTGCCTCACACTGCCCGCTCTGTTCCCTGCTCCCGATGCTGCCTGGCTCTCGCGGTCCAACGGCGACAGTCCAGGGGCCCCTTTCCATCACACCCTGAATCACACCATTATGCCACGCTGGCTGGATCCAAACAGCTCTCCCCAAACGCCTCCCCTGAGCCGCTGCACTGCAGGCAAGGAAACACGCTGCAGTAATTCAATCCTTTTCCTGGGCTGTGACCAAATATCGGGACATTTCAGCCCAAAGGAAAACACCTCAGCGTGGTGCAACTGCCAGGATGTAAAAGCTTAAAGAAACCTTCTGCGCAATCCAAGAGCTGCTGGCGATGCTTGTGCCAGCCCCATGGCATGCTGCTCCCCTCCCTGTGAGCACATACCTTGGAGATGTAGTAGACACACTGCTGGAAGGTGTACATGATCACCTCCTCCAGCACCGTCATCGCCTCCTCGCTGGCTGTGATGGTCGAGGAGAAAAGAGACTCCTTGGAGCCTATGGGACAGAGAGAAGGATGAGGAGCAAAGCTGCAGCAGTGAAATGGGCTGAATTCACTGCTCCCAGATTCCCAGGGTGAGGTTATTGGTGTTCCCAGCCTGGCATCACCACCACAGCATCCCTCAACAGGGGCGAAGAGCCACTGGCAGCACAGCCCAGGGCTGCACTCCTCCTTCCAAGAGCATGATGGCCTATAGAGGTTCTAACTTGCTGCATAGAACAGAAAGTCTCTAAGGCTGATATAACCTCTTTTTTCCTTATTTTCTGTCTTCTTTTTGGCTGGCACTAACACGGGCTCACCAGTGAGCCTGCACACCCAGCAGCCACGGGGCAAAAAGCTGCCCCCAAAGCATTAACCACAAGCTGTTGTGGTGGAAAGGGGAGACTTGGCTGTGAACACAACACAACCTGGCCCTGAAGCTGAGCAGGACCACGGCAGGACGTGAGGCTGCTCCTCCTGCATGGATTACCCCAGCTTGCACCGCAGAGGTGTCCCTGCTGATGAGGATTATGGGGGTTAAAGGAGCATCTCAGAGGCACTGACCACTGGTTGCAACTGGGGATTAGCAGAGCAAAGGCACTCTGGCTGGAGAAGCAAGCAGGATGCTGTGTCCAGCCTTACCTTTGATGTCCAGCTCCTCCTCCATGCTTTGGATATAGGTGGGTGACTTCTGCTGGATGAAGTAAAGGACCTCGATGGCATTCGCCATCCAGAAAAGGATGTGCTGCAGGTCTGGGAGAAGGTCCGTGATGGAGAAGTGGGACAGGGCAGCAGGGTCCTGGCTGGGGAGACACAATGAGCATTATGGCTGCTGCTCCTCAGCATCCCCACTAAAGCTTTTGGGTAGAAAACAGCCAGCCTGGGGCAATGCCAGAGAGCTTCTGCATCCCCTCGCCCACATGCGTAAGGAAGACCCTTTACAAGCAAAAATCTAGTGGTTCCTGCTCTGTTGGATAGCAAAGGGGACCATGTGGGGGCCTGGGTGGCTGAGGGCTGCCTGGCCTTTGTGGGGTACCACTTTTGGGGGAGATTCCCCCTCATGGAGCTGAACTGCAGTAAATACTCATGCCTCTCCCCAAGAAGTATATGCTGCTCCTGCCAGCTCTGGACAGTTGAACCCAGCCCGCCCGCACCAGGCTGTTCAAAAATAAACCAAGCTAAATAAAAAGCATCTGGGAAGTTGCTCAACTGCTTTTTCCTGCTATAGGAAAGGCCTGGGAAGCATCCTCGGGAGCTCGTCCTAAAGGAGAGCTTGCAGCAAGCGCCAGCAGTTTCTCCAGATGCTGCTTTGGAGCCTGGATTTTGGAAGTGGCTGGGAAGCCAGCCCCCCTCAATGCTGTGATGGCCCCAAAGTGGTGCTCCCCACCCCTGTGCCACCATCTCTGGATGCACATTTGCAACAACCAGCCTCGTCTATACTCCACAGAGAGGTCTTCAGCACGAAAGTGGTGAGACCCTGTGCCAAGGCCATCCCTGCTGCATCCCTCAGGGATGATGAAGCCACATGTGCAAAGCCTTGGCCAGGTCTTGTATCAGAGAAGACCCCAGAGCTGCCGCAGGTCCTATTCCTTCCGAAGCTTGCCTGCTTTTCCAGCCCTACATGTTCCCAAGCAGGAGCCTTGCAGGCAGCATGGCAAAAGGACCAGAGAGCTGAATGCATGGGATTAAGCAGGAAAACTCAACGTGCATCGGTGCTGGGAGGGTGGTTTTAGCCAGCCACAAACTCCCCTCACTCATGGAGGAAGAAATGGGTTGAATTCTCCCCATTTGGGAGCAAAACAAGGCAAAGCAGCAGGCTGCACTTACTGCTGGGACTGCTTTTCGGCCAGCTCCCGTGTCCGCTCCTGGGCAGGGAGAGAAGGGGAAAGCAAAATGAAACCCAGTGGGACAAGGCGGCACAAGCATCACCCCAACCAGCACTTGCTGCCTCCTTGGAGGGGTATCAGCAGCACCCCCACCCCACCAGCACCCCCATCCCATCGCTGACTGACCCACACCGTCCTCTGGATCATTTTGGCCACTTTCAGTAGCAGCTGCCCGAAGTCTCCTGGCTCGAAGCTGGTGGC